AAAAATATTTTTGTTTATGAAATGATCTTTTATACCAAAATTCATTAACCTCAACGATGCAATTTGTATCCAATCATGCAGGCCCTCGAACTACATGGTTATTGGTTAAGCTGAATGAGATTGCACAATGTCCATGGGCTCATTTTTTTTGCAGACACAATGCCCAGCCTAGTGTTTCTTTTTGTTTTTTTTTCTTTACTACTAGGCCTTTTTTTTCTGGGTTGAACAGTATTTATTTTTCACACTTGGGTTCTTCCATCCTGAGTAGCCCCATTCGATTTCCAAGCGTCTGACATGAAGTGGTTATAAGATGATTGGACTGAGCAGATCTGATGTTATTACTAAGCCTTCCTGAGGATCCCATGCATCGGCTGTCCTGTCTGTGTTATGTTTGTCTGGAGTACGTGGCTTGTGCGGTCAAATCAACGCTATTTGACGGTAAGCTTCTTCCCATAAAGGGACTCCCCGGGGTCTCAGCGGTTGAAGACACTTGTAGGAATTGCCGCTGACAAATATTATTTAAAAGAGCTGAATATCAGAAGCTGTTAAAATATCCCCGTCCTCATTCCTGACCGTGTCTGTAATGCCTTGTGTGATTTGCATCTGAGTGCTTGGAAAAAAGTCTGACAGTGGAAAATCTATGTCTGTAGTTTAGGAGACGACCTCCAGAAAGGGGAGCCTAGGTGGTCCTTTAAGAGGCGTGTGTGGGGCAGTTATTTATGCTATTATTGCTGATTGGTCAATAGTGGAAAAGGCCAGTTTTAGTGCCTATAGCAGGGGCAGCAAACTCTGGCCTTCCAGCTGTGGCGAAACTACAATCCCATCCTGCGTCTTCCCTTTGGGAGTCATGCCTGTGGCTGTCAAAACAATACAATACCTTATGAGACTTGTAGTTGCACCACAGCTGGAGGGCTGGAGTTTGTCTACCCCTGGCCTATAGGCTTTTAAACTATTTTTTGATTAATTGAAATCAAGCAATTGCTGTTATTTCAATTTTTGCTGCTAATGCTGATGAACCAGAGGTCAGTATGCGACAGTTATTTTGACAATAACTCTGTAAGTAATTTGCCTCCCTAACTTTGGCATATCTTTTAAACATTTGCCACCCACCATCTGTTCATTAACATCCTCTCTGTGCTATAGACATGTTAACAAATGTCCTACCTTTAGGCCTGGTTCACACCTGGGCATTTTACAGCGCGTTCCTACGCTCTGTAAAACGCTCAACATGTGAAAACCAATGATTGCCTATGGCCATGGTTCCCACCTGGGCGTTTTACAGCGCGTAGGAACGCGCTGCAAAACATCCTACGACCAAAGAAGTACAGGAGCTTCTTTGGGTTTTATTTGCCGTGCGTATCCATTGGGATACAGCCAGGTAGGTAAAAACGCGCATATTCGATACGCCTAGGTGTGAACCCAGCCTTAGAGATCAAGCAGCCAACAGTGAGCGACTGCTCACTCCTAATTCCTACTGTTACTGACAGCCGAGGTCCCCATTGGTGTTCAGGAACTAAAGTGGTTCCCGATCATGTGACTACTAGGTCAGCCCTCACATTTAGCATGGAGGCTTTATTGACAAAAATGAAAGCCGGCAGCTGAATGCTGCCACCATTTAGGCAGCGTTTTCATCTGCATTGTTATATATTAAAGCGATACTAAACTCAGGAGTTACATTTTAAAAATACATTCAGGTACCTTAACTATTAACAAAAAATATATCTTACTTCTGTATCGCTCGGCTGTAGATCCTCAAATCATCTCTGAATTGGTGCTCACACTGTCCTTCCTTCTGGAGGGGGGCTACTTTTGTCCCCCATGGGCCCTGTGTGTGTTGTAAAGTTGTCACTGCTCCAAGCTCATTCCTGTGATGGACTACAATCTCATGTTTAGTTTTCTAATATGTATTGAAGTTATAATCCATCACAGGAGTGAGCGAGCTTGGAGTGGTGGTTACTTTACCACACACAGAACAAAAGTAGCCCCCCTCCAGAAGGAAGGACACTGTCAGCACCAATTCAGAGATGATTTGAGGATCTACACAAAGGGGCATATTTATAAAGCGGCGAATGTGCCTTTTAACTAAACATACACTACTGGTGAATCAATCACTGTCATTTAAAACGCATGCACCAGTAAAATTGACCTGCCATGAATGTTTGGTGTATTTGAGACACCCTGCTTTAAAAATATACCCCATACTGTTGCTGCTAAAATGAGTCTATCAATGTGCTCTGATCACAAAAAGGGTTAGGGACAAATAAAACATTTGTTCGGGACACTGTTTTAATAAATATCCTGCAAAAAATTTTTTTTTTATAAGTTGGCAAATGGACATTTTTGCTTATTTTACATGTACATTTTTAAATATATATTTACGCACTAAATTGCGCTATGAAAATTATCTTGGCTTAAGTTGTCACTGCGCCTCTATGGAAGGCTTACTGACAGCGGTAGGTTTGTTTGTATACAAGTTTAGTGACCACCATGATTGCGATTGTGACCACAGTGCGATCGGCTGCACAGGACCGCGTAGTAATAAAATCTCCTGCGTTCCAGTGCGGTACGATCACAAAAAATAGTGCATGCATTATCTCAAAGACCTGGCAATTTTACATGGATACAGTATGTAGACTTTTTATATCTACTGTATGTGTATATATTAAATTGATCTCTTTTACATGTACCATTCATCTAAAAAATACATTTAAAAAGCTGTTCTTTACCAGAGAAGTCCATTTTTATGATGGAAAGTAGATCCAGGTTCTGTTTCCTGGGAGATAATAATGCATTAGATACTATGACAGACAAAATGAAGTTTGATGTTCTGTACAGCATCTAGTATGAGACTGAGATAAACCGCAGGCTGATGGGAATTTGACAGAGGCTGATGCAATGCAGACTTGCGGGTTGCTGACATACCTGCTGTGTTATCCATAGAGGCGTGATTGACATATTGAGCTCTCAGGATGTTTCTGGGCCCATCTGCTTACAGATCATGCTTCAGGTTTCAGCCTGCATCCTATCCAGTCATATCAACTGGATATAATGCCAGATATGGCATCATATCCAGTTGTGTTACATCACTCAGCACCAGGGTGTTTCCAGGAGGATCATACACCCCAATTGCCCTAAATGAGCAAGCTGTTTTGTGATGACCGGCAGAAATCTTGTGTAATACAATATCTGTATAATAGCTGTTGAAAGAAACCTAGAATGATTTGGTGTCATTTTTTTTATAGTTTTTTTTTTTTTAAAGTTTATAGGCTTATATCTGTTATATGTATATATGTGCAATTAATGACAAAGGATTCCCAGGGCACGATAGGCTAGCTGTAGAGCCAGCACTGGCTTTGAGGCTTTATATATCTGATTGAAACTTCAGACTGAGCCATGTGCAAATGGATTAGTTACTCTAATTACCTATTCAGCTTCAGCTATTGAGTTTTGTAACAATGGCCTACTTTCAGCAAAGCTAAGAATGCTATTTAACTAGACATGTGAAAAGGACACTAGAACTTCACTTACTGGCTCAAAAGGAGAACACAAAATACTTAAATGCAATATTTCAAATGTATTTGACTGAACAAAAGGAAACGTATTAAAATTAGGGATGCTCCTATAGTGAGCATTTGGGTAAGTACTCGGACTCACCCAAATGCTTCCGATGCCTCTCCCGATACTGGAACTTCCGGTATCAGGAAGTTTCACGAGGGAGCCTGAAGCCGGCTTCCGTTCAATCAGGAAGCCAGGCGGAGTGTGATGACAGCTTTCTGATTGGTCAGGTAGCTGGCCAATCAGGAAGTCGGGCGGCGAGTTAATACCCGCCCCCCCCCAGCTTCCTGATTGGCCAGAAGGTCAGGTCCATGCTTCCTCATTGATTACCTCATGGCAAAATAGACAAGCATGCAGATCATTCGACATAAAACAAAAAATAAAATCCAATTTTGCAAATCAGTTTTTTCTGTTGATGTCTGTGTGTCACCTGAATTGTATCACTAAATTTCACTTTTTGTTTTAACTGAATACATTTCTTAAAGTATATCTAGTGCTAATAGATATATCTAATTTTTATTTTGGTTAGAGTATAAAAGAGTTAAAATCTCGTCAAGTTATTTTTGGTATCTGTGTCCCATTGGTTCCCTTTATAGATGAAACAGGAAGTTAGATGAAATCTCTTCAAATGATAAGAAATCCTCCCTTTGACACTTGTCACAGGAAGAAGTGTCCCCACTGGAGGATTTCCCTCTTATTATATTCTAGGAATATTCTAAAGTAAGCTTAAAGATGGCCGTACATGGCTTGAACTTTGTCTAATTCCTATGAATTGTTCAAAATTCGAGCTGTGGGTGGTCCTATCAACCTCACCCAGCTCAACAAACGTCGACTTCATAAGTCAGGCAGACAATTGTTGTCGGAACAGTGACTGTTTGGGTATTCAAGCAGCCATGCTCCCAGGGCTGCTTCGTTTCTATAGCTAACAGGGGAGATTATACCATCCATGCTGTTTTGTGCACTGAATGAGAAAATACTAACAGGGTTATTCACAAAAGGGTGAAGAGTTTGGAGAAGTCAGGAGAAGTGAACAATCTAGGACAACATAGCTGAACTGGAACAATTCTCCAATTCAGCTCACTTTCCAGTTCAGCTATGTTGTCCTAGATTGTTCACTTCTCCGGCCTTCTCCAAACTCTTCACTCTTTATTGAATAACCCTGTAAATGTTTATGGCCAACTTAAGACCGCTATGTTGTGTAAGGAGCCGGGGTGAGTGTTAGCCCGCAATGTGTTATCAGCCAGTCAAAATACAGGTCTCATTTTCTTCTCCAAGCTTCTGGAATTTATATTTCTGATTGGAATCTTTGGTTTTCTAAACATCTTGGCCACCTCTGCTTGTTTTTATCTAAGCTTTTTGTCTTATATTTTTTTTCACATAAATATCATCTTAGCTTATTTCCGCTAGTGATGAACAATAATTGACGCTCAAGTCTCTCTCAACAGGATAAATACCCTGATGTTCTCCAGTGGATTAAATCAAGGGCAAAGAATGGGTTGATCCAATCCAGCAAGATGTCTCTGAAGGTGTTCGAGTCCCCCCAGTTTGACATTGATGTCACCCCTTCCCTGGCACCCCTGATCACAGGAGAGGAAGACTTCGTCTGTGAGGACTTCAGCCTGGAGAAGTACAGAGAGAACCTCCGTACCGAAACACTTGGGAAGGTGCTGATGTTTTCTGAAGTCACCACCAGCACGTTTAACCTTCTGGATGGGTAAGTCCTGGGCCTGCTTCAGATCACAATGGCTGGTTTGACACACACGACTGACAGACAATGTATAAAAAGGCTTTAAAAAAATGTTAGGAAATGATCCACCTGAGAGGTGCTCTTGGGTATCATGGATCAATCATATCATGTCCACATACAGAGGCTGCTTGGTTATCTTCCCTATGTACACATTTTTGTGTACACACTGTTTTGGGTCAATTTTATTTTAAACATTTAATACCTGACAAAGGATTTCCAGAGCATTTGAATTGAAGCTCCCCTTGTCTAACGCCTCAAACTCAGCACTCTCATAACCAATGGGTCATGAGTTCTGCAAACAGTGGGTGCGTTTTAGCACAGTATCAGCAAATATACAATGCTAAATGTAAAAAGGAGGCTAGAGCTCCACCGGCAGGCTTTAAAGGAGAACTATGAGGTGAATGAAAATTACTCATCTTCATAGTTCAAGCCGACGTGTGACAATGAAACTGTCACACGTTGGCTCAATAGATCGGGAAGTGAGTGTAGAATGTGCTCTGATTTGGGGGTGCCCTTAAATTACTGATGAACAACTGAATCTTAAATAAGTGTCGGGTTTATTTACAAATAGGGATATACATTCATATTACAATTAAGGGAATTTGAAAGGGGAATTGGGGATAGGAATTGAGGTTAAGGATCCTACAGCTAGCTACACCATTCTCTCTCTCTCATTCACACAAGCCATGGGTTTTTCTCTGTTCTTCGGACACGCCTCTCCAGCAGGTCTCAGCGAATCACATTCTTGATTGCAGAGTTCAGAAAGACTTGTCTTGTCCAAAGGTCTTGATTGTCAGCTAGGTTAGTGTCACACAGGAAGAAGGTTCCATCACATGCCCCTGCCCCCATCCCAGCATATATGCCTTGCTGACACAGGTGAGGGCAGTAAATACCAGCAGGGGGTCGGGCTTGCCCCAGGACATGACAGTCCAGCAGATCTCCTTTGATCAGTGTCCAGCCCCAAGAACCCTTTGATGGTCTTCATTTGCATATCAAACAGCACGGGCAGCTCACGATATTAAGGAACCTTTCCATCAAAGATGTATCATAGATGTCAATTATTTTAGCTTCCAACAGTGAGCGAACACGTACCGTCACTCGCTCACTTCTCGATCATCTCCCTGCAGAGAGCCATGACTGCCAGTCACGGCTCAGTGCGGGGATCCCCCCCCCCCCCCCCCGCTCCGATCCTGCGGCGCTGACTGGAGGAATGGATGGGGGAGAGGGCAGGCACAGCTGGCACTGCCTCTAGATAGGCAGAGCCAGCTGTCACTCACGCAGTTTGGTGGATCTCGACAGTAATGTCGGGATCCATCCCGGCTGCGGCGGTCTCAGTATACCCTGCGCTGTAGCTCGCCATATACTGAGCTTTTGGGTCCTGTGACCCTTAAGAGAACTATGGGGAAAAACACTTACCTCATAGTTCTCTTTTAAGGGTGAATGCAAAATATTGACATGCTGTATTTCAAATTTAGTTGGCAACTACAATTTATTTGTCTTACCATTATAAGTAAAGGAAATATGTTAAAAACTATTATACATTCTTCTAACTATACACTAACAAAGCTTTCTGTTGTGTTTTTTTTTTCAATCCTGACCGCACTTTTGCTATGTGACTGTTTTTGAGTGAATGTTTCTGACATCTCGCTAATATACGATTGTCCTTTAAGAAATCTTCCCCAGACTTGCATAGAAACTCAATTTTTCGACTTTGTGTTTTAATTTTGTCCTGTAGCTCTTTTTTTCCATGTTCGTAAACATTTTAGCCTACAAACTGGAAAGTGGCAGCTGGTAGCATCTTTCTGTGGGATTACTAGACGGGAAGTCAGTTGTGCGTCGGAAACAAAATATCGTTTTCCACAATATCCTCTATCTCCTCGTTATAGTCCATTCCCATAATTTTTTTTAGTTTTATACATTTAACCATGACTACCTTTTTTATATACTGTAAACCGCCTGGTAGTAGCTGGCATGTGTTTGTTCAGCGGATGTACAACTAGTGGAGGTGCTAACAGGCTTTACAAAATATACCTCTATCTTGGCAGCCTATTACTGTGTGTTCAAGAAATGATTGGCTGAATGACACAAGGTCCAGGGTGCTTGGGGCATAATGGATTGGATAGTCTGGCCGTGTCTTAGTTGTGTTAATGAATGCAGAGGACCGATCCATGCAGACAATCGCCTTTTGAGCCACAATGTATTTTTTTTCTATTCTTCGCTTCGTCTGGAATTCTCTAGAGAAAGGTTATGCTGTCGGGAAAAGGTCTCTGATAATGTACTAGATAGATAGATACTGTAGATAGATATACTGTATATTAGATAGTATCTATCTTTAGTATCTAATTCTATTAATGGCTAGGTGGACACTGTAGGTAGTATATAGATAAATACTGTAGATATATACTGTATACAAACAACCCTTTTTTTAAAATGTTAAAATCAATTTTCTGTTTTTTGCTGAGAAGAAATTTAAATGTCAAGAACAAACAAACAATCAAAAACAATTTTGTAAATATATTCCACCAATTTATTAACTAAGAAAATTGTAATGGGTTGCTCTGAGTGAGTATTGTCCTAATAGGAGGACCTTTGCATTTTCATTCAACTTTGGTCAAAGGAGCCCGGGGGAGAATTGTCAGCCAATCAGCTGCAGTCACTTTTGGGGTATTCTGACAGTGGCGGGCCACGGCTGTCAGAATACAATAGGCTGGCATGGAAGATTGGTTTAGCGTGGATGGAGGAATTTGCTAGATTATTTTCGTTTGACCTGTAAGCTGAATGAAAGAAATGTATGTGTGAGATTTCCCTTTTACTTCCTGTTCAGTAGCCACAACAGGTGTAAGGAAATCCCTCCAAAGACAGGGAATTGAATTAAACAGGGAATTCCGTGTTGTTCAGCAGGGTCACCAGAACTAGTGTCCTCATCGGAAGATTTCCCATCTATTCCTATTCTGATGACCGCCCAAATTTTGGGCTTTTTTTTTTTTAACTTATACTTTCAGTGATAAAGGTCACCAGGACAAATAGAGAAGGTGAATCTCCGTAACATGGACACAGACAGCAATACAACCTGGCAGGTGTGCTAATTCCTCTCCACTCCATCCAAAACTTTAAAAAATAACAAGTTTGGATGTCTATCGCACTTTAATATAAATACATACTGGAGTTACTAATACCACTCTCTGATCCAGATCAACCCTACATTCTCTGTGTTTTCTGGACCTGCTGTATTAGAGTAGCCCCAAATTGCTTAATGAAAGCTGACCTACACATTCTTTCTCCCCTGACATCTAAAGAAGAATAGGCTGTTAGGGAACAAAGAAACCAGACAAACCTAAAGTGCAGGTTAAAAAAAATAAAAGGAGTTTATTGAAAACAACAAAAGATAAATGGCAAAAAAATAACAGAGAAAGTCAAGGACATCGTCGGTGCCAACCAGAGGTCAGATGTCAAAGCGCGTAGTCAGCCAAATCAGGTCAGGGAGCACTGAAAGCAGGATTTACGGAAACAATAGCTGGAGTCAGGATCCAGGAGATCAGTCAGCCAGAGGCAGGGTCATACACAGAGAACAGGAACAACAGCAGAGCACTTGGCAGATCAGAACACATGCAAGAGCAGAGACTGAATGGACACGCTGATGGTTAAATAGTGAGCTGGTATTTGCATCATCACTCGGAGACAAGAATCTGCCAGAGGTTTTGCGAGTAGTTGCAGAATTATGATGTTAACGGCTTTGGTCATAAGAGGGCACCAAAGAGGAACAAACAGTGCCAAAGACACTGCAAACAAGCCATGCTCCAAGCAACTGGACAAGGAAGGATAAGAAACCCTGACATAGGCAAACTCCAGTCCTCCAGCTGTGGTGAAACTACATTTACAGTCATGCATGTGGCCATCAGAGTCTTGCAGTGCCTAATAGGATTTGTGTTTTCACCACAGCTGGAGGGCCAGAGTTTACCTACCCAAGATCTAAAAGGTTCTGAAGCTTCCGACTCTCATCAGTGCAGCCAGGGTCTGAGAGATTTGCTTACATTGCACATCATGTGACCTGCTGACACAAAACTCCAGTCTCTTGTGATCAGCATAGAGCTTTGCCAAGGAGCAGTCAGCAGAATGTAGTGGGTGGAACCTTGCACAACTTTCACTTACAGCCAAGGGAACATATAAATGAAACTTTTCAGATGTAACTTTTTTAATGTAAGGTCTGTTTTGTTTCTGAATGTGGCTTCTTGATAAAACGCACGCACCAAACAGAGCTCATTGTCCCTCAAACCTGTTCTTTTCTGGAATTTTACGAAAGATCCAATAAAACTTCTTTATTGAGAGAAAAATGTAACTTACTGACCGTCTAATATATTCATCACAGAAGCAACTCTCCCCAGACCTTTACAGAGTCCGCCCTTCCCCTGTCTTTTATTTTTTGTTCTAACTACGGCGCTAATGAGGACACTTAGAAGCCCGCGCAAGCCCTGACCGTAGAACAAGCATTCCGCTGCCAACCATAACACAACATATATATTAATATGTAAAACATCAACACAGGCCATCTGGAGATCTAATGAATAATCAAGGGATTTCAATTTAAACTATAGATTTTTTTCACCCTCCTCCTCCGAATCTTTAGGACAACACTGTCAAATTCAATTTAGTCAGCCTGGGCCCAGAATCCATTTTTCAAACTTTCTATGACAGGACTAATCGCTTCCACCTGTTGTTAGGCTCGAAGCCTTGACTGGCACTTCACCAGCCGGGCTGGAAACATACACACACAAACTCTTATTACACTCCGCTGTTTCTCCGCTCTGAGGTCACTGAGCCATTAAATTAGTTCCATCCCATTTTTACTCTTCTCCACACTGATTTCTGTTTCCTGCATATGTATATATTATATACATTTATATATGTTTGCTGGATACTTTTTTTTTTTTTGCTTATGTAGTGACGTGTAGGGCTGCAGGGAGCGACGGAGGTGGCGTTGGAGAGGTCACAAAAGTACATTTTTGTTCTTGGCTGTCCCTTGCAGTTTGACACATCATTATGAGTAGTCACTAAACTGATGACTAATTCGAACATGGCACACTCCTAATTGCTCTTTATGTCGGAAAGCAGCAGTTTGTCATTGTCTTGGTGTAGCGTTTCCGTGGCATCGGGAGATGAAAGCGATGGGTATGCGGAGTAGGAATGCATCCAGTGAGAGTGAATGTGCTAAACAGGGACGATGAGGTGCTATCATTTATATGTGTTATTGCAGGGACAGTTAAAGGACAGGTCCACCCAAATATTGTTAATTATTTGGTGTTGGGTTGGTACAAGTGCATTGATTCGTGTGCCAGCTGCTCACATTCCTCTGAGGCTTTAGCAGTAAGATCTGTCTCGCTCACTGCTAAAGATCCAGGGCAGTGCTGTCCTTCTTGCCATTTCCGTAGAGTTTAGCATTAGACCGGTCACGCTTTTGTAAGACCCCATTCACACTGAGCTACATTTAAAAAAGTGCTTTTTCAGCGCTGATTTGAGCTGAGCGACATTGAGCTGCAGTGCACATTTTGTCGCACTACGTAGCGCTTCTTTTGGCAGCCTATCAAAGCCTATTGGGGCCAAATCGCACAAAATCCACTGAAAAATAGGTCATGCTTGAGACACAGACTTGAGCTACCAGCTACAGGCGACATTAAGTTGTGAGATGTGAACAGTTCCATTGAAATGCAATGGACAAGCTACATTGAGCTTCTTGTTTGAGCTAATTTTGAGCTGAAAGCGCGCTACAAATCGCTCGTTGTGAATGGGGTCTTAGGCTCCGCTTAGAGTTCTCTACAGGGATAAATGGAGAATACAGTGTAGGGAGCATGGTTAAAATCAACTGAATATTCCCCCTAAACATGAAGATCTATATTCTTAAAAAATAAAGGTCCATTGACCAAAAAAAACAGGTTGATTTTATATAAAAGTAAACCTGGTACAAAGTCAACAATGCATAATCAGAGCTTACCTTGGGTGAAAACCATATGCAACAACAATCAGTAGATCCAGAGATACAGGAATCTGAATTTAAATCTAAGTTTCAGATTTTCCTGTAAAGCTCTAGTTTGGCCCTGGCTTGGCCTTCATATTGCCCAGTAAGACTATCTGTCTATCAAATTGAAACAAAAGAAAGGCTTGTTTGAGGGGCTTGGGGGGGGGGGAGGTTTGAGAGAGGCCAAGTTTGACTTTATGATAACATTCAAGATTTTCGTAGAGCTGCCTATATCTCTTCACTGACATATATTTATCTTCCGTTCTTTGAAAGACACAGTGGAGATCTTTAGATCTTGACCATTGGGTTATAGCGCTACCTTCAGGAGTAGGACACTATGGTTTTCCGTAACTTTTGCTTATTTATTTTGTCATCATACAATCTGTAACAATTGTCCAAGGTTGTGTTGGAAGTTATCCAGCAATTCCAAAGAGATTCATGGAAGAATATATAATAATTCCTGGGACTTATCAAAGAAAGTTATTTAAGAAACAGTTTCACCTTGTCCAATCAAGGCAAAGAGAACAGGCCCCTCGACCTACAAATAGTTACCTTCCCTATGCTTGCCCGCTGCTCCGTTCCTTCTTTAGAGCACTGAGTTAAACCCTGTGTAGGCTCCATTTTGGTTGGTGTCTGAGCTTACACTAGGTTGATGATTTCGTCCTTACTCATGTGATGGTGTTCAGGCCTTCTAATTGGCCACTTAAGCTCAAGCACTGCATCATTGGAGGGGGTTGCATGCTTCCCCATAACCAAAGTACAGAGTATTTTATAATGACTGCGACAAAGTAATGGAATGGCAGTAGAGTGCAAAGGTGGTTAGAGTTTGGGCTAGCAGGAGCCTTTGTCACTGTGCTTTGAATATGCCAAGGGAAAATGTCTCTTTCTAAATGTAGGCCATGAATAAATGCTTCTTTCATAATAAAATATTTCTGTTTTAGGTTTGAGCTATTCAAGTCAATATTTCAGCATTGCTTCATCCCGTTCTACGAAAACATTTAATTATTTTGCTAAATTCTTGAGTCAAGAAATCATATATTTTTTGGGACAATTTAATACTGGCTCTTATTTAAACTATTTTGGTATTATTCTGTGAATTTACAAAGACACCCATGATACGCAGAGTGAAGTTACCAGCAGCAATCAGTCAGACCTCTGCTAACTGATCTAAAATCACTAAACCTAAATTATTGGGAGTTGCTTTCATTTCTCCCTATATGTATTCGTGTGTATACATATAATATCATATGAGTGTGTGTGTGTGTGTATATATACAAATGATGTATTTTTTTTATTGCTCACACACCAAGTGATGAAGTGATACCGATAGATATAGATGCACAGGCACTGTAGTCTCAATATGCATAACTGAGCTATGCATACACCCCTGCATATTTATTGCATTTTGGCTCTGCAGGTGTGAGACACAGCGGCCTGTTTTCCGCGCCTCGCAGTGAATGCATAATGTGTTGAATGGCCGCCGTGCTGCCGGCTGAATGCTTTCCCTTCATTTCTGCTGGTTTTGTGATGGCTAGGTGGGAAGACTGGTGTAACTGCAATTGGCAAGACCAATAACCCCTTGCCTCGGGGCTGACTGCATAACTAATGAAGTCAAAGTACACCACTTAATGCCTTCATTGACATGCCAAGTCGTCTTCAGCTAAGAGGCTGATGAGCCTTACTCGGGAATATTCCACTGAGCTCACTCTGCCATGGAACTTGGTTAACTCTTCCCTGAATTCACTACATAATACATTTCCTGAATTATATATTTTTAAGAGTTGTTCTAAACTTGTATGATTACATTTAAAGCTGAAGTCTGTGTTTAAAACAAAAAAAAGAAAATAAGCTTGCCATATGCTCTCCTTCAGTTGATCATTGTGCATCCTATCGGGTCAATCAGATATATGCAAGTTCTTTTAGGCCTGGTTCACATCTGAGCGTTCATGGGTACGTGCGTTCATGTGCATTTAAGCGCGTTTGTGCACCGCAGCGCGCAGCCCCATTGGAGTTTTTGTGCAAAGTGCGACCACAGTTTTTTCTGCCGCCTTTGTACGCATTTGCACAGGCGGAAACTGCGTGATTTGCGGGCCGGATTTGGGGTGCCATTAGAAATGAATGGCACCGCAAGCTCATTTCGTGTTTGTATGTGATTCCGCAAATGCGCTGCAATCATGCACGAAAACGTGTGAATTGCCATTTGTTCTCAGAACGCTCAGATGTGAACCAGGCCTTAAACATACTAAAGGCCCCCACAAGTACAGTTTCAAAGTCATTTTTGTACCCCTGAATGGCAATGGGCTTCTACCCAGACTGCCTGTTGTGCTACTCGCAGAGTCTGTGCCGGGATTTACAGAACTTCTCTGAAAATTCTGGCTAGGACTTTCAGAAGACCCGCCGGTACCTCTAATGGTACTTACAAGAGATTTGCCATTACTGATAATGGCACTCAGAAAACCGAGCCCAGTATTGTTAGTAGTAGCCACAGAATGCATGCCAGAACTTCAGTACGCTTTGAAATGGTGGGGTATTTCAGCACCAGCTCTGCTGTTTGCTGACCCAGATTGCCTGACCATGCTTTGTTTGCCGTCTGCTCTGACCTCACCCAGGACCCAACTACACTCTTGTCTTCCCTCTTGTCTGCAATTGTTTTTGTTCTCAACATGGCCTATTGGACCATTTGCTGATCTACACCTGTCTGGATCTCTGCTTGATCCTGTCCACACTCTGGTCTGATATCTCCATAGTATCATAGTCATCCAGAAAAGTATCTAGACACCCCTCCAAATTATTGGCTTCAGATGCACAAAACCAGGTCCATAAAGACATGATTCCATGAGTTTGGTGAGTGTAGAGGATTATGATTGCTCTGCACAGAACCCTGATCTCAACCCCACTGAATGCTTTAAGAATGAATCGGAATGCTAATAACAAGTAAGGTCTCTATATTCAGCATCAGTACCTGACCTTGCAAATGCTCTTTTGGCTGAATTTGCAAAAATTCCCAAAAGTGTGGGGACTGTTATATTTGCAAAAGAGGGTGTGGAGACCACTTTATTTGAATGCCTATAGTTTTAGAATGAGATGTCCAACAAGCTCAGATAGTTGTGACGGTCACACACTAGTCCAGAAACTTTTGGGTGTGAATGCATTGTGCAGCTCTATAGGTTACAATGGGAAAACCTGTAGATCCATACCAACAAAAAAAAAACCAGCATGAAAAAGTTTTGAGTGATTTTCCTCATGCAGTGCTGGATATACTTTGAATCTTATTTTGTGTTCACAACACCAAAAAAAAAAAAAGAAATCTGAATTAGGTAGTCAGGGTCAGAGCAGCACGTTACTTATTTCACTTGAAATAGGTTAATTTGGCTTTGACTTTTAATCCACCAGAAATCGGAGGCCACAGGTTAATTTTGTTTTTAGATAATCAAATGATTGTCTCGAAAATCCAGCTCCCTCCTCAGACTTAGGTGACTCTGACCTCCCATAAATGCGTTAAAAATATCAGAATCTCTCCCCCTCTGGTTGGCCCAGGTCCCAGCGGCCTAATTTTCCTCCAATTATGTCAGGAGTGCAAATATTTTAACAATCTTATTTTGTATTCACGTGAAGTTTTCAGTCATAACACCTCATATCCTTGAGGCTCAAGTGTCATTTTAATTGTAAAGGGAACACTACATTTCCCCTTGACACTGATTTGGAATCTATGGGATTGCTGTAAAGTTGGTATCCTTTTTACTCCCTGTAAAAAAAAAAGAAACAGTTACAATGCATTATATTACAGTTACTACTGTTATTGAATGAATATAATCAAGGCAATCTACTGCTTTTATTTATCAACTTTTAATGTATTTAATATCTTGATTTTTCTTTTTTTAAGTAGCACTCTATAGGTTGAACTCGATGGACTTGTGTCTTTTTTTAACCTGACTAATTATGTAAGTCTATATGACCTCCAATTAAAAATAATATGCTGTAGCACCTTATTTTTCTCATTCAAGGTTTTTCAGTAAAACATAATAGAGGTAAGAGAAAAAAACATATGGCATATACATAATATACAGGAAGGAGGTAAGGTAAATAAAATAAATTATGATATCTCTTCAGATTTGTTGGGGGAGAGTCTTAAGAATCGCAAGAGAAGAAAATGTTCTTGTTTGGCTCAGATATATGAGAATTATTTATCATGCTGTATTTGCTTTGTGCTGGGAAAAATGATGCAAGATAGTATGAGGGGGAGTGGCGATAGGGAGGGGAGGAAGAAGAAGGAAGTGGGGGGGAGGGTCTCTCGGCCTATTGGGTCACCTTGAGGGTATGTTGTATTGGTCTGAATATCAGAGTAGCAGGGAAACCAGGTGAGTAGGACTTTTTCCTTTTTTGCATTTTTTGTTATGGTAGGCTACAAAACCTAAAAGCTATAATGTGCTGAACTAAGACCTCTTCGCCACAAAAAAAAAATTCTGGGATTTAGAGGGAAAGAGGCCTGGGGACACAGGTGGTTAAAAGAGAACTATGGGGTAAGTGTTTTTCCCCATAGTTCTCTTAAGGGTCAAGGGACCCAAAGCTCAGTATATTGTGAGCTACAGCTCGTGGTATTACTGTCGAGATCCACCCAGCTGCTTAAATGAGAGCTGGCTCTGCCTATCTAGAGGCAGAGCCAGCTGTACCCGCCCCTCTCCCGTCCGTTCCTCCAGTCAGCGCTGGAGGATCGGAGAGGGGGGAATCCCTGCGGGAAGCGGTGACTGACAGTCACTGCTGTCTGCGGGGACATGATCGAGAAGTGAGCAAGCGACGGTATGTGTTCGCTTACTTCCCGATCTATAGAGCCGACCTGTGAAAGTTTCATTGTCGCACGTCGGCTCGAACTATGAGAATGAGTGATTTTTACTCGCCTCATAGTTTTCCTTTAAGGTAAAATTGTGGCCAGACTATGGACAGTCAACGGTTAACATATTCTTTACAAGCCATAAATTAGCTTTTAAACAAGCCCCTACTGACCTTTGTAGATGTAGACACTGTGGCACAATTGATCTCCAAAGTTCACAAGAGAATCCTTCTCCGCCCCCCTTTTTCTGTGCACCTGCTCTTACATTAAAAATTAGAAGGCTGATAGGCTGCCAAGTTACTGTAGCTGGCAGGGGGGCAACAAAACCATCGTGTGAGGGGAAATCAAAAGTGAAAGTTTTATTTTTCATAACTTTGAAGATTAATTACTCCATGACGTCTGTAAATGCAGAGATCAGTAAGGGTTTGTTTTAGAACATTTTCACTGCTCGTTAAGAATATGTAAAGTAGTTGAATGTCCATAGTCCCGTCACAGTTCTACTTTAAGCCACAATCTAAACCGCTATTTTTATAATCTTTGAGAATTAATCAAATTTCCCTTTGCAAAAATGGCTCTTTTGTGCTACTGTAGGATAGTGATGGGCTCGGGCGTGCTCGCAGCTACACGCGCCGAGTCCGAAAGGAAGCTGACATTGCCGCAGCGCCAATCACAGGTACTGATACATTATCCCAGTCTGCAGCTGCAGAGATTGGGAAATGTCTCCATGTCTGTGATTAGCACTGTCAGCTTCCTGGCGAGCTTGGCACGTGGAGCTGCGAACACGCCCGAGCCCATCACTACTGTAGGAGACTGTTGGGTAAATGCTAGATTAGATTTATGAAGGAGATTGTTAGGTAATAGTTAGATTAGGCTCATGAAGTCTCATAAGGGTGTACTTGAATGGGAAAAAATCATTTCCTAAATTAGAGCTTGTTGAAAGAATACTCTCCTGCTTCTGTGATAGAGAACAGAAGAAATTCATTGCTAAGAGTTTCTGCCATGCGATTTAACTTGCAGCTTTGTGGGACCATGGGAGATTGATAGCTCATTCACATTACTGGCTTAAATTACATAACCATTGGCATAATTGCAGTGCAAGTTGGAGCAGAGAGCGTTTTCAGCACTCGGCACCCCCTGCCACTCTGAACAGTGTTCTGCATCCTGTAGGGCACTGTGGGAGTGTCCACAATCCTGGGACTTAGGGATGTCTTGATACCAGTGCAGATACCAGTGCAGATACTTGGCATTTTCATGAGAACTACCAGGGTGCAGTGGTTGCAGCTGGGACCTGGCTCTGGCTCTCCACCACTGTCCTGAAATCGTTAGTCTGTATTGTTTTAGAAAAACTGTCACATGACAATAAACAAAAATGTATCAGTACTTGTGTCTGTGAGGACTTGGATAAGTATCAGTACTTGTACTTGGAAAAATGGTATCGGTGCATCCCTTTTATATATGCTTATAAAAACATACATTAAGACAGAGATGTACACATCCCAGGAGCTCCGTGTGCTCCTTACAAATGACAGCTGCCTCCTAACTTTGAATTTTTCTTTAGTCTAGTCCTGGAGCTGGAAAGTATCTGAACTTGTACCGAGTACGGTACTTGGTATCTGAACATCCCTACCAGGACTGTCTCGCAGGATTTGGGGAAACTTGGCAACTACAGTACTTGTTGTCAATCTCCTGATAAGATGCAGCTACTAAGCGCAAATGTGTGTTTCAATTATGTGTTCCCCCCTCTGCCAATCCCTCCACTGGCTTCCACTCGCACAGAGGATAAAATTCAAAATATTAACAGTCACCTATAAATCCATCCACAACTCTACCCCCGGATATATCTCAGACCTGGTCTCAAAGTATCACCCTAAACGTCCCCTCCGCTCATCCATTGACCTCCTGCTTTCCAGCTCCCTTGTCCACTCCTCCCTTACTCGCCTCCAGGACTTCTCTAGAGTCTCTCCCATCCTCTGGAACTCCTTACCCCAACCTGTCCGTCTATCTCCCACCTTGACTGCCTTTAGGCGTTCCCTAAAGACTCATCTCTTCAGGGAAGCCTATCCCACCTCAACCTAACCACTGAACCATCACATTCTCAAATAATTCATCCCCTCACAGCTACCTCCTCATGTATCATTTCCCCCTCCTCTTTTAGATTGTAAGCCCTCAGGGGCAGGGCCCTCCTTACCATCTTGTCTTGACTTGTATTGTAACTGTAATGTCTTCCTTATATTGTAAAGCGCTGCGCAAACTGTTGGCGCTATATAAATACTATGTAATAATAATGTGTTTAGATATTTGCCTGGAGTTCGCCCTGAATTTACTTTTATATTCCTACATGGTTTATCCTTAATTCTACAAATGTTATATTCATTATTTGATGGCCTCATATTTAAGTTTGGAAAACCAATAGCCATAGTCTGAACAAATGCCTGTTCTGCTTTAGATTTTCTTATTTTTTTAAAGCATAAAAGCCATGTTTTCTATTATAAGAGGAAAAAAAATTAATAACATCAGACCCGGCACCTATGGTAGATTGCAATACCAGATGTGAGGTGGAACAGGAGGGAGAGAACTGCTGCTGGCCACCTGCTTTGTGTGTATTAAAAATCTTGTGTGGTAGCTGATGTCATTTTGAATGCATGTGATCGAGGATAATTTTAACAGCACAGAGCATATCAGGTTCTCAAGGATCAATGCTGTAAGAATGTGCAGAATCCTGGGCCCTGCTCTCTCTGCATCTGTTGTAGGAAAGGAGCATAGGAATAAACCATGGAAATCCCTCCTGACTGGTTTGGTTTTTCTGCGGTGTTTAAATCCGTGGTGCTCAACTCCGGCCCTCACGGCCTCCTGATGGTGTGCATTTTCTAGTTCTCTTCCCAGACTCATTTGTAAGATAATTAGGGGCTATATAAAAAGATTGCATAGGTATTTGTCCTGCAAAACTGCATGTCTATTTTGTTCTATGTGAACTAATTGGCACTGGCACATTTGTTTTATGGACTTTTCACACATTGTAAAATGCGGAGGCAAATTTGAATGTTCTTTGGTTCATTGTGAACATTGATTTTGGGGTTTAATGGATCAAATTTGAATGGTTGCTTTAATTTAAATATTGGCTCACCCACAAATAGAAAATTAATGTTGTTAGGTTAAATCTCTTTGCTGGTTGGCATTACATCTAATGTTGATTAGCCCATTCTGGGGAATGTTTGGTGGTCAAATGTTCTTTGAATTTGGCCAGCTTTGCACGAGAAAGAGGCCATTATCATATGTCAGTTAGGATAATATTCTTTGATTATCCATGGTTCAAAACATGTAATTACTAGGACACGTACCTGGTCAAATATTCTTATATTATATATAGTATACATCACTGCTTCTATTGTACAATGCTTGAATTTTGGCTCACAGATATCCCTGCTGCAAACCTAACCGATATACACTCACCGCCCACTTTATTAGGTACACCTGTTCAATTGCTAATCAGCCAATCACATGGCAATGCATTTAGGCATCTAGATAAGGTGAAGACGACTTGCTGAAGTTCAAACCGAGCATCAGAATGGGGAAGAAAGGGGATTTAAGTGACTTTGAACGTGGCATGGTTGTTGGAGCCAGACTGGCTGGTCTGAGTATTTCAAAAACTGCTGATCTTCTGGGATTTTTACACACAACCATCTCTCGGGTTTACAGAGAATAGTCCAAAAAAAGAGCAAATATCCAGTGAGTGGCAAAATGCCTGGTTGATGTCAGAGGTCAGAGGAGAATGGGCCGACTGGTTCGAGATGATAGAAAGGCAACAGTACCTCAGATAAGCACTTGTCACAACCAAGGTATGTAGAATACCATCTCTGAACGCACAACACGTCTAACCTTGAAGCAGATGGGCTACAGCAGCAGAAGACCACACCGGGTGCCACTCCTGTCAGCTAAAAACAGGAAACGGAGGCTACAATTCGCACATGCTCACCAAAATTGGACAATAGAAGATTGGAAAAACGTTCCCTGGTCTGATGTCTCGAATTCAGCTGCGACATTCATATGGTGGGGTCAGAATTTGCCGTAAACAACATGAAAGCATGAATCCATCGTGCCTTGTATCACAGTCCGGCAGAGCCATGTGGGGGCGGAGACGGCGCTGTCACAGGAGGCTTGGCTTTCCTCCCTACACCACTCGATCAGCCTCCTGTGACGGCGTGTCAGAGAGAAGAGCACGGTACACTCACTCAGCGATCAATGATCTCTTGAGTGTTTGTACATAATTGAGGACATGGTATGTGTACTATATCCTCAATTATGAATGAATGGGAAGTGATCTACATCACCTCCTGTTCATTCATAGTTGTGGTTATAGTAAACAAACAATGTACTCATGTTATGAATGAACAGGAACACTCAGTATAGAGGATTCCTGTTCATTGATAACAGGGGACACAGAAAAAAAGATTGAAGATTTTGTGTTCTCAATCTCTTTTTCTATTTTAAAACGGAAATATCAGGGGTCTGTTTAGACCCCTAATATTTCCCCGAAGCCCCTAAAAGTAATGTAAAAAATAAAAATATTTAATAAAAAAATGAATAAATAATTTTTTGTAAAGTTTATAAAAAATAAATAAAATATTAAAAAAATTAAAATAAAAAACATTTTCGGTATCGGTTCAGTTTCGGCCTGACAATTTTTTTTAATTTTATTTTTGTTTCGGTTTTAAAATTTCCATTTCGGTACCTCCTACTTTTAGTGTATTGGTTAGCCTCAATTAACATTCTGGGATTAAAAAAATCCCAAAGTGCACTTCCCCCACTTTGTCCTCTCCAACTATATGATAGGGTAGACTTTAACTTGTAGTGCCTCAGAGTAAAGCTGCCTTCTCCTTGAACTGGAAGAACCTAGATTAGTTGGTATGTATATTTTATTTGGATGCTTCTAGGTGATCCCAGATGACTTATTTTGTGTAATTTAATTGATATAGTTGATATACAGATGCTCCTCGCTTAACGACTTACCTGTTTTGCGACCACTCGCACTTACGACCGACCTCCGACCTCGCGCGTCAGAGTCAGTGCGACGTGTCGCCGGGGGAAGTGACATCCTCCGATCTTCACTGTGGGTCCCGGTGAGTATTTTCATTGCCCGATGTACAGTACCCTGTTCGGTACTGTACATCTGCAACGCTATGCAGTACTGTACTAATGCTAGAGTTCCTCACTTAACAACCAATTCGTTTAACGACCTGGTCGTAGGAACCGAACTCGGTCGTTAAGTGAGGAATACCTGTATTATAGTATTTATTCAGTCTAGAAAAAGACTAATTCTGACGGATGTAATTTTGTAGATACAGAAGACTTCTTGTCACCAAACATTTCTGAGCACAGTGTCCTTTCCAATTTTATTAGATTTAAAATACAAAGTTATAATATGTTGCTAACACTTACAAAGGGTTCTTACTGGAGACTACAGTTTTCATTTCTTCAAAGACCTCATAGGGTCTCTTTTAAGTAAGCAGTATGCAGTTGGCTAATAAAAGGAGCATTTACAAATCTAAAAACTAAATACAAGATTTAAATATATGGGGCAGTAAGCATGTAATGTTGCGAATGCAACATAAAAATAGATTTCCCGGTTAACAATACATTAATAACTATAAATATGTACGTATTGAAAATACACCATTGTTCCAATTTAAGCAATTTGATTTTCAGATGACAGAATGTTGATGGATGATGCCCTTCTCCCTGGTTGTGTTTTTTAAGTGGGAAATTGCTGTTTTTGTTCCTGAAAGATGTACCTTGTTCTTTCCTAAATCAGTGATTTGGACTAGCTTTTGATGAAGTGCTAATTTGTAAGCAGCAGGGTATCTGTGTCCCTCTAATTGCCCTTGGCTGTGTGGATCTAACCACCTCACTAAGCATTAGGTACTGAGCTGTTTATTTTAACACAGGGAAACATTTCTTTCGCCGAACCTTCTACACCTCCTATTCTATCTCCCGAAACCAGATGTACAACGTACAAATTTGCCACGGCTTGTAAAACACAGTAATCCTGGATATTTGCAGGATTTCTCCAATGAAGCGTTTTTCTTCTGACGTTGAACCCTCAAGTTGGTGTTTCCTCTGGCTTTTATTAAATCCAAAGTTATACTCTTCATGCTGTGCAAATATATGGAGAGAAGATAAACACTTTAATAAACACACTAATATGGGTAATACATTAAGATGTGTTTTCTTTCTCTATTTCCTTATTACAGTACTGCTGCTACAGCTAATAGTAAGTATTTTTATAAGCAGTAGTGCCTGTAATATAATAAATTACACATTTTCAACAACAGTTTGCACAGCACTTTACAATACAATCCCATGCATAAGGATTAAAGGACCTTGCTCCTAAGAGCTTACACTCTACAAGGAGAATAATTTATGATTTTTGATTAATCTTTAAATCTATGTATGATTAGTAGTTACATTTATATAATAATTTAATAGCTGAAAAAAATTGATAGTAGCAGCTATTAGTATCATTATGCATTTAACCTTTAAAATAATATTTGTAAAAGAAACATAATTATTCATGGTAATTATAATAACATTAGTTGATCTGTACAGATGTCCTTTTGTTTTCAGTAATAATAAGAATTTGAGCTACTTGCAAACATTCCCCCTTTTTTAATTTTAAGCTTTTACTAAAATCCTACTTGTATAGTATTTTCCATTTCTCTTTTTTATATACTCCCAGTGTTCTGTGTTTTTAACTTCACAGTACATTAGCCACCTAACCAGCTCATGCGTGGCTCATACCCACCTCGTTACAGGAGGTGTAGGGATACAGTCCTCGCCGGCTGGTGCGCCCGACCAGCTGTTGACTGATGGAAATCTCTTATGTAGCAAGTCCGGGAGTATTTTAAGGCAGCGTCTTATTGTATTATTGCTCTGAACTTGATTCTATCTGTGTGTGTGTTATTTTAAGGCTCTGATAGATATTTTCCAGATACACAGGTGAACAATTCATTTAATATTGTGAATGTTTTGGGACAAATATATGGTTTTCTCAAGAAGCCAAATGTACTCCAATGCGTGAATGGCTAGAAGAAAAATATGCAATACTAATAGGAAAGTCATAAAAAGTTAAGCTCTGTATTTTAGTTTTAGTCATTTGGGTTTCTTTATTATTTGTTTTGTAGATTGATTTATTCAATAATATAGAGTCTAATACTCTCCCTACAGATGTTTGCACAAAACAAAAGGCTATAAAGATTTAAAATGGTAATTATTCTAGATCAGGGTGCTCGCAAAGTTGAGAACGCCCACATGTTGTGCCGCGAGATATTGTGCGTTGTGTTAAATTACTGCAACACTATAGTGTGAATGGGACCCTTTGTCATGGTCATTAGGGGGTCAGACTATCAAAAAAATAGTCTGGTAGTCCTACTCAAATCAGCTTTGCTCCCAGAATGCAGTACGGGCTTCCTCTGCTCTGCTCTGGGTTAGCATGATGGAGGAAGCCGGCACAGACTGCAGATTTAAGGGAGTCAGATATTATGTCTGTGAAGGTTCTCATTCATCCAGGTCATGGTATATCTGTAAAAAATAAGTAATGGCAACTGGACTTGATGTATTTTCTTGAAGACGTTTCACTGGTCATCCAACCAGCTTTCTCAATTCAGAATAACTTGTACAAAAATTATCTGGGAATAACTATGGTGAATGATGCTCCAATCCACATAATCTGTTAATCGCAACCAGGTGTTGATTGCAGTTGCATAATTGGAGTCTAGGAGGTGTTATTAACCTGAGAGAGGTTTTTTAAAACGGCATTGTCTGTGGCAAACAATAGATGCCCCCCCTGTCCCATCCCCCCACCTCTATTCAAGCTTGGCTTTTCCATTTTTTACATAAATGGCCTCTTTTACACTTCTTTTAAACCAGTTCTTACACATGACTGGGTGTAATTCCCTTAAAGGTGGTCAGGGCCTTGCGATTAACAGATTATGTGGATTGGAGCAACATTCACGGTATTTATTCCCAGATAATTTGTATACAAGTCGTTCTGAATTGAAAGCTGGTCGGATGTCCAGTGGAAGGTCTTCAAGAACAATACAGCAAGTCCAGTTGCCATGACTTATTTTTTACATATGAGTCAGATATTAGTTCCCATAACAGGTTTTCTCCCACTAAAGAAAGGATGTAAAAAAGTAACTCTATTTAAACATTTCCAGGCTTCTCATTTTTAAAAAAATATCAGGGGAGGGTGAATGAGTGACAGGCTCCCCATACCGACAAGCATTAGGTACATTCAGCAAAAATGTTTGTGGACATCTGACCATCTCAACCATTATATTTCCAAAAGTAGGTAAACACCTATCCAAATGATTGAGTTCAGATGTTTTCAATCAAGGGTCCTCATAATCCTACAGCATATAAAGGCATATTAGTCAATTTTTCACTACCCACAAGTTGGTGAAGGCTCATTTATGTTCCATGACTTTGCCCCTGTGCGCAAAGCCAGTTCCATAAAGACATGGTTTGGTGTACAGCATCTTGAGTGGCCTGCACAAAGCCCTTACCTCAACCCTATTCACTACCTTTGGGATGAGTAGGAATGGCAATTGCCAGCTAGGCCTTCTCATCCAACATACTTAACCTCACAAATTCTCTTTTGGCTGAATGGGCTCAAATTCTCACAAACATACTCTAAATTGGAAAGCCTTACTAGCAGAGTGGCTGCTGTTATCGCTGCAAAGTGGGACCAATTCCATATTAATGTCCATGGTTTTGGTATAGGATATTCCAAGTGCTCATATAAGTGTGATGGTCAGGTTGATGCAGGAAAGTGTTGGGAAGGTAAATGTTTCAAACTGGTCTGGCTGGCATTAAAGTGACACAAAAATAAAAAAACAACGGCGCCA